TGTCTTTTATTTTCCAGATCTACCCCAGCCTGCGTGCCAGACATGTCCTCCAGTAGACGAGCTTCCTTCTCTGAAGACAGTCATGGATGCCCTTTGTCTCACTGACTTTGGTAAGCAAAATCATGAAAATTTTATAGCAGTTATAGAGTTCTGTGAAGAGAACTCAGTATTTAGGAATACTCATGAAGTATTTGCTTATATTGCACCAACAGCGTTGCCAGATTGGGTAGTAGTTCTAACATTTGTTTTAGACTGCCTGTTTTTTTTTTGTTTTTTTTAAATAGTACAATTACAGCATGTACTATGAGCAAAACAGAATTGTGAAGGGATTTAACAGCAAGTAGGCAAGCTGTCCAGTTTGGCAACATAATTAATTAAGCTGCAGTTTTCCTTGCCATTAGTATTACTCTTTCAACTGGAAATGTGACTATAGTCTACCTTTAAAAATAATTTAAGGTACATAATTGGACCTTATGGACCACTGATGTACCTTTTAAAGCTTTACTCACTAATTCACCTTCCTGAAGGTACAAAATGTGTTCCTTGATGGTACAAGGAATGTTGTTTGGTTACTTGTACTTCTGAGAGACAAGTTTTTAACGACTCTTCCTTTAACTGCAGCCGTTAAAGCCAAGCTTTTCCGCCGCCGTGTGGCCTCTAAGGAGCCGGAGCTCGAGGTAGAGGGAAAGGTGGAGTTCATCCAGCGTGGCCCATTGCTGCCATACGACACCGCCAACCTGCTGCAGCAATGGCTGCTGCTCAACCTGCGCTGTGCGCATGCCCTGGTGAAGCCAGGTCGAGCACAGCTCTACCTGATCACAGGCACGATGCGCTCCGACGGTACCGTTGAGCTCACGCACCTCTTCCCCTGGCTAAAGAAAGACCTGCACATAGCCGCCGCTACCCGCAAGTGGAAGCACCACAAGTGCTGAGGACATTATACACAGTTCTAGAGGAGAGGAAAACCTTAAGGTGACGAGAAACTTTGCAGAGTAAACTGGCATTTGAAAGGGAGCATGGTTTTGGAGCTTCTCTCCTCTCCTCTGGTTGAAAATTTGATTCGCTCCAATTTCTGAGCACGCGAAATTTAATGCACTCCGATAGCTTTTTGTTGTTGTTGTAAATATCGAGCCTTTGAGTAATGGCCTTGTAAAAAGATAATATTTCTATCCAAGTATTAGTGTATTTATGTGTGGCATGGTGTTGTGGTGTAAGTGGAATATGAATAAACGTCATTTAAAAATATTTTCACACTGACCTCATTTAAAGCAAAAAACATTAGCTGAAATGGGATTCAGAGATCCTGCTGTAGCAATACTACAGAGAACATGTATGGCTATCCAAAGTACCATGTTACACTGTTTCTACACTGTTTCTACATACAATCACCGAGCACTTTATAAGGAACACCTTTGCACCTACTCTCATGAAGTTAACTAATCTACTGTTCACATCAATCATCAGAATGAGGAAAAATGATCTCAGTGATTTTTACCATGAAGTTTTACTATAACTGCTTATCTGCTGGGATTTTCACACACAACAGCCTCTAGAGTTCACTCAGAATAAGGCAAAAATAAATAAAAATTTTAATAAATAAATCCAGTGAGCGGCAGTTCTGTGGACCTAAACGTAGCCTGGTCTGATGAATCTCGATTTGTGCTGAGACACACAGATGGTAGGGACAGAATTTGTTGCCAACTGCATGAATCCATGGACACAACCTGCTTTGTGTCAACAGTCCAGGCTGGTGGAGGTGGTGTAATGGTGTAGGCAATGTTTTCTTGGCACATTTTGGGTCCATTAATACCAATCAATCAATCACCACTTGAATGCCACAACCTGAGTTATGTGAGTATTGGTGCTGACCATGTACATCCCTTCATGGCCACAGTTTACCATCTTCTACTGGCTATTTCTAGCAGGATAGTGCACCATGTCATAAAGCAAATGCAGTCACCGGATCTGAATCCAGTAGATCACCTTGGGGATGTGGTAGAACGGGAGAATCACAGCATGAAAGTGCACCTGAAGAATCTGCACAAATTGCGTGATGCAATCATATCAACATGGACCAGAATCTTGAAGGAATGTTTCCAACATCTTGTGGAATCCATGCCATGACAAATTGAGGCTGTTATGAGAGCAAAGGGAGACTCTAGCTAGTATTAGTATTGTGTTCCTCATAATGTGCTCCATGAGTGTAAATGGTAACTGGTGGAATACCAGCAGTATGTAGCATAATAACATACTGAAAGGCAAATCTTTATTAAACTGGGTCTAACTTCTTAATCTAATTCCTTTGGAGCAGGAGATCTCGAACTTTTAGCAGCTAGGGACCCCTTTAACTGTACAATAAATAATTCAGCCCCCTTCAGCACAAATGGATTTTATGAAAACAATCAAACATTCAGCAGCAATCTGTTGCAAACACCATTGTGGATGTTTAACCAATGTTTAAAAGACTTCACATGACCAAAAATGTTGTTTATTATTCATAATGCTTTTCACTGCTAGCAGGTAAAGCAGATATGGTCTTATGGTTATGATAAGATCTCGCCAAAACATATATCATATATGATAAATATAACAGTATATAAGTACAGTAATACCTTAGAAGCCAAAGAGTCAATATAGTGCTGACTACTAATGTGGTTTCTGAGGGATATCTATAGTCATATCTAGAGTCTAGTTAACTTGAGCTATAGTCTGCCAAAATTATGTTTAAAGGTGCACTACTGGTCACAGTCCCACAGGGTTTTAAATAACGTATCAGGGGAGTTAATTTGAAACACTGAGAAGGAATGATGTCTGAATGTAGCCCATAGGTAAGCTTAAATAAAAACACTTCTTCAGCTGTAAGTTTTGTGTCTGCTTGCATTTTTTCTAAGAAGATAAGGTAGCAAAAAGGAGAAATCTAACACGTCCCTCTTTTCATTCACTCAGTCATCTTCGGGAGTATACCCTGAATGGGATGCCAGTTCATTGCAGTCATGTACCTCTTACAAAATGTATTTCTGTATTTTTAAAATGTAAAAAAAAGCCCAAATTTGATAGATTTTTCATTATTCTGCACTTGATAAATTTAATTAAAATAACTTTTTATTTATATTTTTTAGTAAAAAAAACGATTTATCAAAAAGAACATTCAAATGTACATGGTGATTTAAAAAATGTTAACATTTACTCACAACATTTTTCTCTACAGTATTGTCATGGCCACCAGATTGAGTTTGGAGCAAAGAAGAAAAGGCAATAATTATTAACCTAATCTCCTTGCATTATTATGTTTCAGCGTTATTTTCCATTTTTAACCACATTGTACATTTTAATGTCCCTTTTCCTCTTCGTGCTACCCTTATATGATTTTGTTCACACAATTTTGTTCTATCTCTCTTTTCTTGTGCACAGTGGGAATGTGGCAACATCCCTGTGGGTCTCCCGAACTGCAGAAGTCTTTGTGTGTGGGTCTGTGTGTATGTGTGTGAGTGGATAGCAAATGTGAACAGGGTTGCTGCAATTCATTCTCCTTTGCTACCTCATTATGACTCCATAGACACAATAGGGAGAGAGCACATTAGAAACTTCCGTGCTGCGCCACAAAAAGCCGCCTCAGTGCCAGGCTTCATCGCATTGTCCCTTCTAATTCATGGAGTCTGGCCCACCATTGACAATATGAAGTGCCAGTGGGGGAAAGGCTATTGAGTGTGCTCTGTTTTTAAGGGGTCAGAGAGAGAAAAGGAGAAGAAGACCTCTCACAGCTGGTCCACTGAGCACTGGATCTGAGCTTGCTCTTTATGGCTCTTCTATGAGGCCTCTCATTTTCTTTCATTTGTCTTGAAAAAAGAAAAAATGGCAAGGGACTTCAAATGGATTCACATGGACCAATGTTTGAGAGCTTAGAGATCATAATAGGACAACAGTTTTGGAGTTCCCATTTGGCAAAGCCATGCACTATGGAAGTGATTGAGAGACACTTGATGTCTGGCATGGAGGAAAGAATGTGAGATGAATTTTACGTGTGTCAAGTCTTATGGGATTATTTTACAGAGCATTCCAAACATTAAGCAAATCCCATTACTGCTATGGAACTTTTATGACAAAATACCTAAATTTACACTGATCTCATTACATGAATTACATGTCACCATTTTTCCTTATTTCTTGTCTATTTATTTCTTGCTGAATTCTCAGTACACCACATCCCTTCTTTCATGTTTACTTTACATAGCACTGATTTTCAGTGTGCTGTCCTTTCTGGTATAAAGCCAAAAATTGAGAAATAAAGATGTGTGTGCTTAATTGCTGCTTGTTCCCTCACTCCATATCAGTCGTAACTTAATCTTGTCTTGGTATCCACCCAAAAGCCCACCTCAGTTGAGCAACTCCTCATAGTTAACCGTAAACACATTACATATTCATCACCAGACAGCAGGTCCTCCACCAGCGAGGGGGATAAAACTGCAAATTTGATTACAAGCGCCCTTTGGCTCTGTGGCTGAGGCACAAAGGGCCTGGCTGTCCAGGCTGATTACCATGCCCAGCATGAGGTGATGTTTTACCCCACAGAAATCCCCCAGCGCCCCTTGCACTGGGACATGCCTGTTTAGGGCTCTGTTTAGCCAGCGCTGTTTCTGCTCACTTTTGCCCTGCTGGAGACCCTGGTCTTGTTCAAAAGGACTCTTACTTAAAGAATGTTTTCATTCTGACTGCACTTCACTGTAGTTAGTGAAGTGAACTTACAAGCTGCCATAATGTTTAGCAGTTTTAGCCTTTGATATATATTCTGAGTGGTTGAATTATTTGCTACATTTGTGATGGTACACAAATGATGTGAAATTTACTCTAGTGAGTAATGTTCACATTATGACAGCTAAACAAGAAATACTGAAACACTTGAGGATGACTTTCACTTAAACTTAGGAAACAATAAATTTTTATTAGGATACTTTAATAAGTAATAAGTAAATAAATTAGATATATCATTATTATTATTATGGGGCACGGTAGCTTAGTGGTTAGCACATTTGCCTCGCACCTCCTGGGGTTGGGGGTTCGATTCCCACCTCCGCCCTGTGTGTGTGGATTTTTCATGTTCTCCCCATGCTTCGGGGGTTTCCTCCGGGTACTCTGGTTTCCTCCCCCAATCCAAAGACATGCATTGTAAGCTGATTGGCATCTCTAAATTGCCTGTAGTGTGTGATTGTGCTGTACATTGCCTTGTGCCTTGTTTTCCCTGGGATAGGATCCAGGCTCCCCACGGCCATTTGTAGGATAAGCAGTAAAGAAAATGGAATGATTTATTATTATTATTATTATTATTATTATTATTATTATTATTATTATTATTATTATTTTACAGCATGTGAAACAAGCCTAGATACAAGCCTCAGTGTATTTTACATGTCAATTACATTTTTAGGCTTTCTATTTGTCAGTTTCTATCTCAAACTGGACTCATTTCAGTTCATGCATGAATCTTGACAACTTCCTCAGTCATTTCGCTCTTGTAGCTTGATCTGGTGGCTGCTATGACAAGCAGAGACTGACAGGGAATATATGGAATAAGGGGTGGGTTGTCATGTTGATGAAATCCCTTTCTTGTCAGATTTTTTATGCATGTGGTGAGCTGGACTGGAACTGACTTATGAGAAAGTGGTGCAACTGAGATTCAAGGGAAAGTTTTAGATTATATAACCTGACATTTTGGCTTTGTCAAAAATATGTGATAGGAAATAAATCTTCAGTGTATGCGGCTATAAAATGACAGGCAATAGAGTTGTTTATAATACGATGTGATAGACTGTGAAGAGGATAGTTTTATAGGCTGACTCCTGATGGGCTTTTGAATAAGTGTCTCAGAAAAAAAACACAACTATTTACTGCTCCAGGACTCTGTTTCGTGTGCAAGTTAAACTTTGGTCAGGAGTCCATTGTCTCCAATGTCTATCATTTAATGGCCACTTTGACATAATGAATGAAGCGGTCCCACCTTCTGTCCACCAGAAAGGCTCCACTCTTATCGCCTTTCACAATTACATTGGAGGAGCTCAGCCAATCAGGACTCAGCAACGCACGCCCAAGACCCAAAAAGAGGGAAAGGAGTTATTGTTTTCTTTCTGCTTTTTAATGAAGTTTACCCTTTTGGGCTTTCAGGAAAATGTTAGTAGTTGGGACAAACTTTGCAAAGAGTGCTGGATCTGACTCAGAAGGAGTAAATTCATGATAAACGGGAAGCAGAGCGCAATGGCTGGATCTCCATCACGGCATCTTGGATTTGGCAATTCTGGGAAGAGTTTTCTTATTGATAATTTGCTTCGTCCTGACAATAAATCACCCCCTGCCCAGGTCATACCTGATACCAGCCAGAAAAGATGCCTTTCTACGCTGGTGTGTGGGCCATTTGGACTGGCTTCTAAAAGTTCCTGGATGCTTGCACATGCTCAGCCAAGTAACAGTCCCCAAGAGATGGACAGAGAGACACTCAAGACACATTCAGGTAGGATGGCATTCAGTGGTGGCATCATAGTCTTCATTTAAATGTAGATAATTATGAATATTTGAGGATAGTGCATGTGCATTGAACTACTGAAACAGGTGTCAGTAACTAATAAATGCAATATTAATGATTTTACAACCCCGGACACAACATTTCTTATTTTAAATTTGTAATGTTTCTTTTTTTATTATTATAAAAATCACCACAAAAATAATTCTACTACTACTATACTAAATACTTTTGTAGTATAATATCACTATTAAAAAACAGTTCCACTTTCATTTACTTACTGGAGTTAAATATCTCAGAGAGTGCAGTTTTGCTGTTTATGATTTGGCTTACAGCGTGCCTTTCAGCTATTTCCAAATACTGTTATAGCCAATGACTTCTTTGGTTTAAAACCAACCAAAACATAATGAAAATTTTTGTGATTACTGCAGAGGTACCTTAATGTTGTTGTTTTTTTTGTTATTTTTGGTTCAAAAGAAAATCTGAAGATAATTATTAAATTATATCAAGTTATGATATCTAAATTAGATAATATGTAAATCATATGATATCCTGGTACCACAGGCAATTAAGCTATAATAGTTATTATTATTTTAATCTATAAATATTAATAGTTTAAACTATAAAACTTTGTGTCCTGCTGGCAAAAATTAATACTGAATCTTTACATTATACACATTACATCTTAACTACATAACTACAACTAAATTAACTAAAAATGAACTAAAGTTCATGAGAAAATTTTTTCACATTGCTATCATGGTTAATAAAGTTTACTGTCAAATAGTATAACACCTAGAAATGATGCTAGCATGACTTGCGTGACTTGCATCACATTTTTTAATAACAAAGGTTTAATATATATATATATATATATATATATATATATATATATATATATATATATATATATATATATATATATATATATATTGGATCAGCAACTGACTAATAATGTTTTAAGTAAACAAAAAAAAGTAGTTTGAATAGATCCTTCATGTACATAAAGCTTTGTTGCAGCAAATTTCTATGAGTAAACAATTTTCATTTTTGTTAATACTCCAAACATTAAAAATTGTTTTATTTATTAAGTTCATTATATTATTTACATTAATTTTTTTTATATAGAATCATGTATCCAAGACAGAGAGAGATCCATGCGTTTGTGGATGTAAGCAATAAAGAGTTCAAGAAAGAGGAAAATTTGAATATATGATTGTTAGAACATGATCTCATGTAAAGTTTGTAATTGATTCTGTAAAGTTTGATCTCCTGTATAGTTTGTTTGAGTTTTGAGAAGTGGATTTTATTTAAAAAAAAAAAAAAGAAAGAAAGAAAAAAGAAAAAAAAAAGAAAATAACTGGTCCCCAAACCTAACCTTATCTTTTATATAAAATTAAGTCTTGAGAGGTTGAATTCTTACAAAATTGCAAATGTGAGAAAATGCTGATGCATGATGAGACAATTGAGTGTAAACAGCACAACACATCAGGGCCCAGTGTCCCAAAAGCACCGTACATTTCATTTATCTTAACTGATTAAAACACTGAGAGAGTGAGAGAGTTCAATGTGATGTTTCTTCGAGCATTTAATGATGATCATTGGTCTACAAAGTTTGGAAAATCAGTTCGAATCATTTTGACCTATACAAAATATGTGTTAGGACAAACCACATGTATTACTTCTATATTACACTTCAAACATCTTTTCAATGATGTTTAATCACAAATTTCCAAAAATGTTTAAGCGGAATTGGGTTTGAGAACTTTACTTGACATTTGCTTTACTTTTATTTATTTATTTTTAAATATATACTATATTTTCATTGGACATGAAAAAGTACTATAATCCACTTCCTGTATGGTTAAATAAAATAAAAACTGTGATTCTTTTTTGAAGCAGTGTTAAGCGGTGTGCTGCTGTGTGCTTCTCCTCTCGTTCACCCATGTCACTCCAGCCCACTGACGTGCTCTCCTCCTCTCCTCTGCAGTGAGTATATTATCCTCACACACACACACACACACACACACACACACACACACACACACACACACACACACACACACACACTCTCACACACACAAACAAAGTGAGTGTTTCTATAACTAATAGCTAATTCTTTCCTAATATGCACAGCACTGCATAGCTATAGCTTATTCATCAATCATGCCTATTTAGTAAGGGGGAATGCTTTTATTACCGTGTACCTCACACACACACACACACACACACACAGAGTGAGTGAGTGAGAGCAATAGAAAGAGAGAAGAGAGAGAGAGAGAGCACAATAAAACCACACCTCCAGTTTTCTGCCAGAGTAGGTTACAATTGATATTAAGAGCACCATAATGACCAGACCCATTCTTCAGTGAGCTCCCGTCAGCCTGAATGCTCTGCTATGCCATCTCTCTAATGTCTGAAGTAGCTGCAGCAGGATGTTCACAAATTGATATAAAATTGTATTTAAAGGATGCAATTGAGCGATGCGTTTAATCATTGACTTAGTGTACAGAGGGAAAAAATGGAGAGCAGTACCAAAATCTTCATGCAGGGATATACAGGATATGCCAAAAAAAAAGTTATACAAAGAGTTTTATTTAACACTGATGATACCTGAAAAGGCTTGATATGAAAGCCCTATAAAGCTTGACAAGTGAGGTAGCTAAATGTTACCCACCTACCCACCCTCTTGCATGCCCTCCGCCTTGGAGAAAAAAACTTTTTAGTGGCTTGACACTTTCCCACAGCACCCCCCAGACACACAATGCTGCTTTGCCCCGTGACCAATTAGCTCTTTCAGTCAGTCTGCACACACGCGACCCCACTGCCATTTTTCACCACAGCAATGAACTCTAAGTTGCCTTTCTATACTGATCCCGGAGCAGTGAACCCTTCCCAAATCTTAAGCTCAGACCTTCTAAGGGACCCAAAAAAACCGGTGTCAGATCACTGAGAAGGGCAATTTCTAATGACACAATGCAAACCTACATTCCTATGTAGAAAGAAGGAGGGAACACTTCGGCAGCCTTTTTGTTGTATTTGATAAAAAGCCGAGGCTTGAATATCCGCCTCCTCTTTTCACGTGCTGCTCTCTATCCATTCCAGACTCCCTCTATGGGGAGGAATAATGTGATCAATTGGGATGACTTTTATAGACTTATTGGAGCTCATCTTCCTATAGAGAGAGTCTGTGTACCTGTAGGGGAAGAGATAACTGAGTGAGGGATAACTGGTTGCTGAAGGGACAGCTGAGGAATGGCAAGAGGCATTTCTTTTGTGAAAGTGCAAAGGAGATTCGGGGCTACAAAAGAGAGAGGGGGAATAAGCAGCCTGCTCATGAGTTGACCCACTAATAGAGCGTTTAAGTGGAAACCATTGATCCCGAATAATGGACTAGGAGCGTGACTAACAGTCTTACCCACAGCTATGAAGGTGGTCAGCGCGGCGATTTGTTGGACAGATTAAGGAGGTATTGTTGAATAGATTGGGGGAAATTGTGGTGCTTGACTTTTTTGTCAAGCTGCACCTGTGGTTAAAAAAGCGTGGGATTGCTGCTTCCAGACCTC